ACCATCTCCAAAGATAGTCATGAAGGAACACCTGTGGAATGAGGCCAAATAGCACATTATGCCAGGCCGTGTGGGTACATGGCAAAGAAAATTGTATAATGCTCTTCCACACTTTGCCTCACACACCATGGTTGCTTAGGCATTTTGCTTACCCCACAGAGTCTGGATAGTTATCTCCAAGTGCCAGACAAACACAGTGGCTCAAAATCCTCTGATCTCTCCCTTTCTTCTATTTCCCACACCTCTGTGGAACATGTAGAGCATCCGAGAAGATTCACAACTAACCTCATATTAAACTCTGAACTTGCCTGTCATGGCTAATCAAGGTTTCCACCTCAACATTATCTAGGTAGGGAACCTGAATTGAAGAATTGCCTCCATCAGATTGGCATGTCTGTGGGGCATATTTTGATTGGTAATTGAAATAGAAATGTCATTGTGAGTAGCATTATTCTTGGACAGGTAGGTCGGTGTGAATAATAAAGGCTGTTGAGCAGGCCAGGGGTAGACAAGCCACGAAGCAGCATTCCTCCATGGTCTCTTCTTCACTTCCTATCTTCAGGTTCCTGCCATGACATCCCTTGGTGATGGATTATGACGTAGGAATGGTAAAACAGAATAAACCCTTTTGTTTATTGTTATGCTCCCCATACTGATTTTGGTCATGATGTCTATCACAGCAGGAGAAACCAAACCAGAGTAACACCTTACATGTTATACAGATTCTTACATTTGTATTAATGTTCCCTGGTGTGTATGTTTTGTTGTTGTTTGAGACAGGATTTCTCTGTGCAGTCCTGGGTGTCCTGAAACTCACTCTGTAGACCAGGATGGCCTCCAACTGGGAGATCTGTCTGCCTCTGCCTCCCAAGTGCTGGGATTACACTCATGTGCTACCACTTGCCCGCTTAGTAAATACTAATACTTTTTAAGGCATCACTATCTATAATGGTCTTAAAGTTCAAGAAAAGTAGATGTGATTTCTTTGTGCTTTATTTTCAGTGTTGGCTTAATATAACCAAACTTATGTCAGGTCTTGTTTCCTCATGATAAGAAACAGATGTTAGCATGATGACTTAACAAATCATCATTGGGCTGGACATATGCCTCAGTGGTTAAGAGCACATAGTGACTGCACTTGCAGAGCATTGGAGTACTATTCCTAGCACCCATGTTGGGCAGCTCATTGTTTATTCTGACTCTGATCCAAAAGACCCAATTCAGATGCACACATTCAAATGAACCTTTAAAGTTGAACTTTTCATTAACATTCATTGCAGTCTCCAGAAATTAATCAGTTCCTGTTGACTGTGTACATAACACACACACTGTGCGAAGACACACACTCACACACACACACACACACACACACACACACACACACTCTCACACACGCACACATACTTTAGATGTATAGACATTTACAAAATACCTATAAATCTTATGTTTGTGTGTGACATTAAAAACTTCAAATGTGTGAGTCCTGCCAATATTGTATTTGTTACTTTGGATTTAGTTCTTCATTGCTATGAATTAGTCCTTCAATTAGAGAAGGAATTTCATCTATATATTTAAAGTATGGGGGAGTATCAAACTTATGACAAGCTTTGGAGCCTAAATGCATTCACAGGCCTCTTAGGAGATGGAGACATCAATAGACAAAGAAGCTGAAATGTGGTTACTTTGAAATTACAGCTCTCCAGATCCAACCCCTGCAAGTTCTTGAAAATTCTGCATAACTCTCTCTATTCTTTGTTTACTTTGCTGCAATGAGATAACACATTTTTCTCTGGTACCTCAGTATGATTCAAGACACTCCTAGCAAATGGAGATCACTTACAACCCCCGGAGGGAGTACACATGGTACACAGACATACATCCAGGCAAGACAAAACTACACAGGCACACAAGAGATAGAGACAGCAGAGAGAATGAGCACTGTGGGCTACAAAATGGCATCATCTGCCAAGGAATTGCCATTGCAGTCTTAATCCCACAAAATCTATGGACGCCTCCATTGCTTGCAAAAGACCTGGTCTATTACCACTCAGTCATATACTGGAGAGAGATTCCCAGAACCCTACCCATCTCTCCTAAAACAGTGACTCCTTGTGGAAACGAGGAAGGGCAATCTTCTCCAGTTTTCTACACACAAGCCAGCCATCCAGGATCAAATGCACAGTTCCAATCTAATAGACACAATGATAGCCCTAGTTAAACTCAATTGATGACAAAGAAAAAGATGTGGATGTGATAAAGGATCTAATGAAGAAGTTGGGGTGATGGGGTGGAAGGAGAACAGCACCAACTAGGCAGTGAGGGATACCACAGTGCATGATACATAGGTATGAAATTACAAATGCATAAACTAAATAAAAATTATAAAGAAGAAGCATGGCCTGAGGTGAGAGGAACTATATTGAGTTTTGGGAGACTCACTGTTAAAGGCCATATATAACTGCTGAAGACATCCACCCTTACACTGTTCTCCAGTTTCTCGTTTTTTCAGTGAGAAAACACGACTTCTATTTAAATTCAGGGAGATATTTGCAACCTCTTAGTGAATAGTATCTACATCCATTAATATCATCATAAAACATGGAACGTATTTGAAAGATCAAGTATGAGCTAGCAGCCTAAAGCCAATGCAAGGCAAGCCAACCAGAACAATGTAGTATGCACACAGACATAACCAAGACATGAGTTGCCAGAATCCTCTTCAGTGTAGTCACCAGAACACTAAACATAACTGTGGATGAAGGAAAAGAGCCAGACACTGCAACAAAGCTGCTCACATTTCCACCTCAACTGGCCTTGTAACATCTTTGTTCTTTGTATAAATGGAGGAACACAAGAAATGGCTGTTTAGGGCCACATAGATCCAAACAGCAGTGGTACCACTCAACTGAAATCCTTCCTGACTATGCCATCTAAACACTCATGCATAGATGTATAAGAACTTAGGAAACACCATGCTGGAGAGATCTATCGGTGGCTAGGAGTTTTCTGTACAAACATGAGGCCCTGAGTTCATATGCACAGATTGACATAAAAGGCTGGGCATGGATGCATGAGGCTGTTGCCCCAGCATGAGAAATAGGAAACAGGTAGATCCTAAATTCTTTTCTTCATGAATTCATAAGAATACAATGTGCACAAAAACACACCTATAAAACAGTGCCCTTGACACTAAGACAAAACTGAAAGAACTGAAGACAAGGTTCAGAGATGTACTCACGTCTTCTCTTGTTTAAAGTCTTCTAAGCCACTATCTTATGGGTTATAGATTTCTGAAAAAAAGTGTGTTGTATATGCAGATGAAGTTTCCTTAATTTTTGAGATTTCTGCAAATAGATTTTAGCCACTGACAATTCATCAGCACTAATATCAACAGTCATTTCTTCAAATAGATCCAGCACTTTGTTTCAAATCATACTTCCTGGTTATCAAGGTCATCAAATAAATTCTGGGGACTCATCAATTTTCCCCAGAATCT